CCAGACCGTAATTATTGCGCAATATTTCGGGGTGTAATAACTTGCGTAAGTTTACGTTAGTATATTTCGCTGATGTACACCCTCTGGGATTTTTATTTAATTTCAAGAGGGGGTATAATGAGCTAATATTTGTTAGCTCTTTAAGAGCAAAAGGAAATAGAAGGTTTAATTATAACTAGCAAAGCAACAAAAATAAAAACTATTAGTAATAGTGCTATAAGAGGGTTAATTTAAACCTAATCTAAAACTTATTTATATCAACTCACATTAATAAATTTTTTTTTTTTTGTAATTTGAATCAAATGATGTTAGCTTGAATTACTAAATATATATATATATATTTTGTTTTTAATTCTTTTTTTTTATTCTTTTATTCAAAAACAAACAATTAACTGAACTCATTTAATTTGATCTTGATCCTGCCAATTTTAAAGTATATGATGTTGTTGACTTTTTCTGAAGGCTTACTTATAAAAACTAGAATATCTACAAGTATTAAAATCTCATATTGCTCTTGTCAAAAGTTGGTTTACAGAATTGGTGATTTTTATACAATAAATCTTTGGTGCCATATTAAGAAACATTATTAAATTAAATAATATTATTAAATTTATACAAAAAAAAATTTTCTTCAGTGTTTAATTATATAGATAGATAATTTTAGACAATCAACTACTTACAACTTTGAAAATAAACACTTTTAGCAAATAATAAAGCTTTTAAATTCAAATGTATTAATTTTTATAGAAAAGACAATTAAGAATAATATTATAAAATATTTTAAAAGGGAACATACAAATATAATGTAATTCTAGAAAAGATTTTATTTGCTTTAGGTTGCTAGACTTCAACAAATATTTATTTATTTTTTGCTATTACTGGGTATTGGATTGCAAATGAATAGAAGCTTCAAGGTATTTTGTTAGATTTTCTAACTATTTCTAGTCCTATTTAATTTTATGAATTAATTTTATAACTAGGTTAACAGGAACTGTTATAAGTCCGGAGCAATACAATAATAGTGATGTAAGATCATATAGATGGACAGATGAACAAATTTGCTCAAAGCTCTAGTATGCGGAAATGTTACACAAAATCACATGAGTGGACAGACAGACAAATTTTGCAAAAATTCTACAAACAAAGCTTAGAGACAAAACAACAGAATAGTCATGTGATATTATAAAAATAAAAAATTTTTAAAACTTTAAATCAAAATATCTTGACAACTACTTGACAAATTTGATAAATTTTTTTTATTTGAATTCTATGAATCCATATAATTCAAATAAAAAAATTTTTTTTAGATTTTGTTAGGTAGTTGTGAAAATATCTTTGCTCAAATTCAGAAATAAATCAAAACAATAAAAGCTATGCCAATTTTTTAAAAACTTGAGTAAAGGTATCTCCACAACCACCTAACCAAATCTGATGAACTTTTTTAAATTTAATTCTATGAGTTCAAAGAGTTCAATAAAATTTTTTATTGAATTTAGTTGGTGGTTGTGGATAATTTCACTCAATTTTTTTAAAAAATTGCAGTTAATAGATATTATAATTTTTCTCTGACTTTGAGCGAAGATATCTCCACAACTACTTTACTAAATTTGATAAATTTTTATTTTATTTGAACTCTATGAGTTCATAGAACTTAAATAAAAAAAATCATTGAGTTTGATCAGGTGGGTATGAAGATATCTTTGCTCAAATTTTTAAAAAAATTGGCATAGCTTTTATTTTGATAGGTGTTTTGATTTTTCTCTGACTATGAATGAAGATATCTCCATAACTATCTAACCAAATTCAATGAAACTTTTTTTATTTGAATTATATGAATTCATAGAATTCAAATAAAAAAATTTTGCCAAAATTATCAAGTGGTTGCCTAGACATTTTGATTTAAAGTTTCGAAAATTTTTATTTTTACAATATCACATGACTGCTCTGTCCCTAAGCTCTGTCCATAAAATTTCCACAAATTTTGCTCAAGCCTTTAGTATGCATTACATGATTATAATATGATCTGATCTACGCAGGTTGGGTTTGGGTTTAACTCTTTTGAAGCACTAATTATTAATATATTCAATTAAAATCTGTGTTTATCCTAATAAAGCACAAACTTTTTAATTAAAGATCCTGATGAATATAAAGTCGAGCAAATAATCCAATCCTTACAGAGTGTGAGATATTTTACTTTAAAATTAAAATTATAAACAAAGAAAAAATAGGTAATATTAATAATTTTATCGTACCATAAACATTACTTTTGTTCTGATGATTTTTTATAATTTTATAATTTTATTTTCTTTATAGAATGATTGGAATCGGATTTTGTACAAAACAAAAGTGATAAAAAAAATGACGGTTCAGATTATATAAATAATATGCTTATGCCTGGTAATAGCAAATCTTTATTTTATTTGCTTATTATTATGGATTAACATATATATTATATATTTTAGGTCAGGAAAAAGAACCATGGTGATGATGGATATTCATATTGCTCAGGAAGTGGTGGGCTGTATGATTTATCGGATCTACCTGGATATACTACCCATGATATAATCAGATGCTATCTAAATTTTAGAAGTATTTTATACTAAAAATTGAATTAACTTAGGTAACAACATTAGAATTAAAGGTTATAATTTTCATATCAGCCGATTTGTAAATTTGGGCCTTTTTATTTAGGTCACCAAATTTAGATTTACATGTGAGCATTGACCAATCAAATCATATATTTATTGTTTACCGTATATACTATTTTTTATTGTTGTTATAAGCTAGGTCTACACTATTTTTTGATCAGGAAAGTTGAACTTAAGGGCGACTGTTTGACAAAGTTTCATGATAGATTATTATGTGACTTACCGGAAGTTTTATATGATGCTTTGTCATTAATAAGATTGATTATGTAAATTCATTGTTTTGATTGGATCTTCACAAATTTAGGGTCACAAAAATTTGGGGTACTTTGTAAATTGGCTGATATGTAAAACAAATAGGTAGAAATTTAATAATCATAACATAATTCAATAAGATGCGCTCAATCCACTTAAGAAAACGAATCCAAATCTCACACGTGATAAATGTTTATATTTAGTATATATTGTTATATATATATATTAAATTATATATGTAGTTTATTCAAAATATTCAATCAACTAATTGATTACATTTTATATTCTAACTCATAATACTACAAGTACATAAAAAAACGTCACTATTTTTAACTCTGACTTTCGACGTAATAATCCTACCAAATTTTGATAGTAAACAAATGTTTCGTCAACAAAAAAGAAAGATCAACAGTAAAACTGTCAGACAAATGATATGTTAGGCACATGCGAGTTTTAGAAATCGCTTAATTTCTAAAATGAAAAAAAATGGAACAGTAGTAATTAATATACAGTACAAGTAAAACATGCAGCTGGTGTGGTTACATTAAAAAGAATTATAGGGGGAAGTAAGGTGTTTCGATGCGATAGTTGTAAACTTCAAATAAATAGAGATTTAAATGGCGCCCGAGGAATTTTTTGCTTGATGGTGCCGTAGTTATACAATCATAGCTACGCTAATTGGTTAATTATAGTTAGTCCGATTCAATCCATCCGTGTGCAGTTTCAAGATCATTTTTTAATAATAATATCGTTAATAATTACATAGCAATAAAAATTAAGAGCTACATTTACTGGGTGTGTGGGATTTGAGAAAAAAGCTACATAAAATCTTACGCAAATAAAATGTTCCTATTCATAATGCTGTCTAAATATAACAATATAACGTAACAAGAGAATTCAAAAAGCACTTTTTCAATTTTCTGCAGCTTCTTCATGAAATCTCAAATGTTTTTCATAAAATTCGATAACCTATTGATACAAATGATGGTGAGTAAAAATAAGAGACTCTGAAAATAGATATGAAATAGAAACATAAAAACACAGCTTGAGGGCATTTTTTATTAGCTACTGATGCTTTGTGACAGCTTCGCGAACCATTTACCCTTAAAAATTTCGTCAAAAGAAAATCAGACATTAATTTTGAAGGGAACAAAAAAATAAACACACAGAATGATAAACTACACAAGAGTAAAGTACCATTTAATATATATCAACAACTCTTTACTATATTTGTCACGTTCAACACTTTCAACACGATGGACATTGTCTTCCCACATTTCCTCTTCGATTTCCGGATTAGAAACCGATGGTCGGCCAGGCTTCTTATTGAGTTTTGGAATAGCCGGTACAGGCTTATAGTTTGCAAGATACCCATCATCACATTCTCTTTGAGGTGTAGAGGAACTTTTACGGCGACTTAATTTCTCTTGATTATCATTGCTCTCATCACAATTGGTAGAACCGAGCATGAACGTGTCGCCGTCATTATCTTTTACGTTATAGCGATATCGACGACGACGACGGCCTGGGACACTAGCTGACGAGCTTGAAGTATTAGCCATAGGTCGGCCTCCTTTTTTAGTCCAGTATTCTTCAACCAAATTAGTGGCAAAGCTATTTGTAGGAAACAAAGGATTTGGCTTTTATTTATATATATATATATATATATTATAGCAACAGTCACTTACATATCAGACTCGTCCTCCCAAGTATTTTCTTCATCCGAATAGTCCTTCCATTTGAGATAATATTGCAGTTGTCCCTACACAATAAATAAAATCATATAAAGCTTATAGAAACTAAATGGGGCACGACAATTTACGCTAAAAAGTTTTTTACACTCACATTCACAAAACGATGATCAACGACTTTTTCAACAACGTATTCGTTTTCGTACCAAGTATCTATAGTCGCGTCGCTGTCAACTCCATCAATTTTTTGCCCATGTTCACCGTTCGTTTCAATTATTTCACATTGATTACTCGCAGTCCATTTAGGTGGTCGCGAAATTTCCATTTTTCAAGAAAATAAGCGAGGCCTCGTGTGCTGTAAAGAAATGTTTTTCGTCTTGATAAAAAATAAAAATTGAAATAGTTATATTGAAGGAACTAAACGGATAAATGAAGGAGTGTGAGAGAATAAGGAGGGATCAATTCTTTTTTTTTCAGGTAGGCTTCGTGAATCACGTGCGCAAGTAAATGTAATGACACTTATCGCATAGACGGATTCGATGTTAAACAGCTATTCATTACTATAGCTACGCAAGGTTTCTTTTTCATTCAATTATTTATAATTCATCATTTTTTAAAAAATTGCATGTCATCGATGTTATCATAATATACGTAATGGACGTATCTTCACTTTCAATAACAATTGATTTAAAACTTAAATATATCATAACACAACACACTTAAACATTTTGATGACTATTTAAATGTAAAGATATTAACAAAAATCCCCTATTAATTTATATAAAATAAAAATATTTAAATCAATTTTTATAATTTTATTTGGACAGGAGAATTATTTTCAATTTAGATAGCTATTAACAGCTAACTAGAGTTTTTATTTTGATTCCATATACGTACGTATCTATATGACAGATAACAGGTAACCATATTGTATTTAGTAAATATATATTGATTAAATAAAGAAAATTTTGTTTATATAGAATAGAAAAAGTTTTGATTTTAAAAATTTAGAAATTGCCAGTAAATTTTATATAAAGAATTTTTTAAAATTTATAAAATTTTTAATAGTTGGAAATTTGTTATTATTGGCTCGGCTTTTAAAGAATCTATATTATATGATAAGTCTTAGCATTATTTTTCTTTTTTTAAATCTGACTAAGGCCATTCTCAAACATCTCTCTCGATGAGTTTATCAATAATTTGATTTGCCGAGCTGTGACCACCAATTTTTTTTTCATAGTAAATCTATATTAGAACGAAAATATTTAAAACGTTTAGAAGGAAAATATTTAGGAGAAGCAGACTTGATGGAGGCACGAGAGCTTTTCAGAAGGCATTCGACATCTAAAAAAAGTTGTAAAATACTGTTGAAATACTGTTACAATATAATGTTCTTGTTTCAAAAAAATATTTATTTACCTTGAAGAGTAATGAACGAAATATCATTGCTTTTTTGGCTTTTAAAGTATTCATATTCGAATATTTTATTATCAATATCTTCTAATTCTTGTAAAATATTTTTATTATTTTGCCACTCTGTAAAACTGTTATAAATTTCCACAGCCGTTGGCCGTTTTTCTGGATTTACATCCCAACATCTTTTCATCAGATCAGTATAATGTGGAGCTGTATCTTCAAGAATGTGTGGTCGCAAACCATTAACTACAACTTGATATATAAATTGGTTTTTTGAATGTAATTCGGATTCTTGTGCAGATTTCCCATATAAAATTTCCCACATTATTATACCAAATGAGTAAATATCGGATTTTTGAGTGTATGCACTTTCACCTAATACTTCCGGAGCAATATATGATAAAACACCACCATAAAAATTTTCGGATTTTGATTCTATAGTGGTAGATGTTGAAAGCCCTAAATCGGCAATATATGCACTATTTAAGTTATCTTGTAGTATATTTCCACTATGCAAGTCTCGATGAATAAGTTTTTCAGCATGAATTATTTTAAGATCATCAACAATACAAAGCAAAATGTTTAATTTGTCTTCGCATTTTATTTTTCGAAGATTTTCACGTAAAGAACCCATGCTTGCATAATCCATAACAATAATATAATCTTTAGAAGTTTTGTCCTTTGATACTCCAAAACATTTTAAAAAAGTCAGATTCCTAAGACCAATGCCACAATGTACCTTTAACTTATTAAAAGGAAAAATATATTATAATGATAATTTAAATATAAACCATAGACAATTGTCATGGCTGATGTTGAAATTTTTTCGTGCTGAAAACTAGACCAAATAATTTTCACAATTATGGTGATATTCATTAAATATTTAAATGAAAATCATAAATTTTTCACAAAGAGTGCTTGATTCATGAATTAATTTAAGTGCAACGGTCCTATTTAAATTTCGACTTTGATCATGCCATCTAGCACGATATACAGTTGCAAATCCGCCTTCTCCTATCTCTTTAACATCTTCAAATTCATCATATGGAATCCATGTTGTTTTACTAAGGGCCAACATCTCTTTTAAACTATCATCAATATCGGTAATAGATGAACGCGTGCTTAAAAATTCTGTTAAGAAATACAGTACAAATTCAATAAATTATGGTTCTGATGGGTGACCAAAGAAAAATAAGAAAAACACGACTATAATTAAATTAATAACAATGGAAATTACCTCCTAATGCCGAATTCTCCCTTCAAATAAGAAATTTAAACATAACTGTGTAATATGAAAATCTTCTAGTTCTAATGCGTTAAAGTCTATCTGAAGAATGCTTTGCGACTCGGTTGACCCGGTTATCATTAAATTTTCAGGTTAACCGAACAAATTATTATATATCATGGAATACAAATACCCGTGTCTCGCGATCCAAATAAATAATAATGATTCTGCTACCATTAGAACCAGAACATTTTTTCTAAGATTATTATTATAAATTTAAATGTTTACTTAACAGAAACATTATTTATATTGAGTAATTTTTAAAACTGCGACAAAGATTACTATGGAGAATACTAACATTCTTAGGTCAATTGACAACTATAAAAAGTTTATTTACCTTTGATACCAATAAGTGGCCTCTTTTAAATTTCTTTCTACACCAATTCCATTTCGATAACAATAACCAACTCGTGACATTCCAGCAGAAACACCAAATTCAGCGGATTTTTTGTAATAAATGAACGCCTCAACTTCATCCATTTTAATTCTAATTCCATTTTGATAACAATTACCAACATTATATATTCCATCTGCATAACCCATATCAGCGGATTTTTTATAATAAGTAAATGCCTTGGTTTCATCCTTTTCAACTCCAATTCCATTTTGATAACAACAACCGACATTATATACTCCATGAGCGTTTTCCATTTCTGCAGATTTTTGATAATAAAAGAATGCCTTATGCTCATCCTTTTCAACTCCAATTCCATTCTTATAACAATTACCAAGCGCAAATATTCCGCTAGCGTCACCCATCTCTGCAGATCTTTGATAATAAATGAATGCCTTACGATCATCTTTTTCAACTCCAAGTCCATTTTGATAACAATAACCCATGTTATTTATTCCTTTAGTATTACCCATGTCAGCAGATTTTTGATAATAAATGAATGCCTCGTGTTCATCCTTTTTAACTCCAACTCCATTTTTATAACAATTACCCAAGCCGCTAGCATCACCCATATCGGCAGATTTTTGATAATAAAAGAATGCTTTATGTTCATCCTTTTCAACTCCAATTCCATTTTCATAACAATACCCAACATTATATATTCCACCAGGATTACTCATATCAGCAGATTTTTGATAATAAATGAATGCCTTATGTTCATCCTTTTCAACTCCAATTCCATTTTGATAACAGACACCAACACAGAATGTTCCTTCAGCATGTCCCATATCAGCAGATTTTTGATAATAATCAAATGCTTTATCTTCATCCTTTTCAACCCATTTGCCAAACCGATAAAAAATCGCAAGAATGACTTGAACCATAGGGTCATCTTGATTATGCAAGAATTTAATAAATTTATCTGAATTTATTTTCTTTTTTGCTAAAAATTTTGCAAAAAAATTATGCAAGAATTTATTAATAAAATTATTTGAATTTATTTTCTTTTTTGCTAAAAATTGTGCTAAAAATTGATCCAATGTTTCAATAATTGATTCGGAGTTCTTGCCAACCGATCTTTCTTTATTATACAAATTACCCAATTCTTGAATAAGCTGACGACTTCTTTTGCTCGACATTTTGAAAGCAAATAATAATAATAATAATATCGGTCGGTATACGTAAATGACACCTTAAAATAATCAATTGATATAGTACACAGGTGTCATTATATTCAGGAGCGACCGTCGATGTTACACGACTGACTTTTCACCCGGTGTGCAACATATAAAAAAACTATTTTACAATACCA